AAAAAAAAAAAAAAAAAAAGTTAGACAGAAGGCAATGAAGGCAATGACACATTATTTCAAACAATTGTCACTTCAATCTGAAACATAAGCAATTTTTTGCCTTACAGATTCTTAGTTTTTCCCTGTTCTCATTTGATTTTAACAACGATGTCAACTTTTTCCTTCTTCCATTGCCACGATGTTGACTTTGTAACCACACCTTGTTGTTTCCAGGCTCCATGGATATTATGCTGAGGTACCGGGCCTCATAGCTCCAGACTCCTTTTCCAATTTTATTTTTGTTTTTTGTTTTTTTCCTTCTCCGACTGACCGACCCAGAATCAGAAAATGCATTCGACAATAAATGAAAAAAAAGCGGATGGCCTAATAGCATATAAAAAGAAGTTCAATTATAAGTACACTGTTTTTAATTAATACAAGATTGCCATGTGGGAGCCTGACTGACAGTTGTTATAAAGTTAGTCAACTTCCCTTTTGAAGCATCCAAGAGAGTCTGGCTGTACACGTACAAGCGCACTCACAAAGAGCTATTAAAGAGCTTGAAACCACTAAAATAATAAATAGTGAGATTGAAACAGTTCCAACCTGGAACTTTCCCCTGCTTCCATTTGCATCAAATATTCTTGTGATGCTGCAAAAGAAAATGCAATTCACATTATTTACAGTTTACTTGCCATTAGCGTAACATATAATTATACACGTTTCCTCACATTCTGATAAAAAAAAGTATGCTTATTACAGTACAAGCAGTAATAGAAAGGAATGAACATGCACTTGCCCACATGACAAACTGTGAGGAAATTCTTGAGGAACTTCTCTCACATGTAGCTACATCAAGAGTTGGAAAAAAAAGTTGAAACAGAAATTACAAGTATTTGACCTTTAATGATGCATTCCAGGAAAGGCCCAGTGGCCCACTGATAAAGTGTTTTCAGAGTGTAGAACTATGGATTATAATCCGTGTTCACGAGTTGTGTTCTTAGACAATATACTGTACTGTATACATCGTCACCTTATTCTGGCATGTGCCTTAATTTCTCCATCCAAAGAGAATGAGACACCAGCAATGTAACAACGATACAGAGGCAGAGTGACTTTGTCTAGCGTATCCCATTTAAATGGAATAGTAATTGCAAAGAGTGGCGAATTATTCTCGACTCATCACTCCTGCTATGGAAGTAAGAGCAAAAATGCCAGCTTGTACATGAACAATACTAGACTACAGTAGCTAGTAAGTGTACTGACATGCTACATTTCCTTAGTTATTACCTTTCTGCTGCCCTTACAGGGACTGTACTCTTTTCTACAACAATTTTCTCACCATCGGCAACCACGGCAATATGTCTAGCTGCTGATTCTATGTACTTCAAATCTGGTGCACGACCCTACAAATGAATGTGAGAGATATGCAGAATTTATTACATTAGACATCAGTGTCTTGTTGGAAATACACCACTTGCAAAATTCACATGAAACTAAATCCAGAACCCAAATGGCGTATTTTTCGAATCCTCATTACTGATGATATTGATCACATCATTTCCTGCTTTTTCACAGTTCTTTCGACAAATGGCTGAAATATATGAATTTTATTATATCACTCAAAAATAAGATTCATATCATCATGCCACCAAGTAATATACTCTCTGTAGCTACAATGTAGTATTTGATAATATCAACCATCAAAGTTCTCAAGGTTTGATGGTTAGATAGCCATTTATTTTCCTACACGTGCCAATATATTTTATTACATCATATTATTTGTTGTGCCTTATTGCAGTTCAATTGTTGCTACATGTAACAAAGCAAACAGAATTACACCAAAGAAAAATATATTATTTATATCAGCCTGCCTAAACAATATACATTTAACTAGAACATTATAATTGTAATGAAATACTAAACATAGACTTGTAAGAGGATAAATATTGGTCAGGATTGGCAAAACTTACTCCGTATTGGAAGTCTGAGGGAAAGGGGTTGACAGCAGTTTTAAATGCCAAACCTTTTAAGGGAAAGTGCAATGCTAAACTGGAAATTCCAGAGGTGTGGGGGTTTCAAATCGCAAAATATTTCATGGAGCCAACTGCTGTTTAAAAGAAATTTAAATTTAATAACGAGCCTTTGTGATTGGTTCTTTATGAATTCAGTTATTTTGCTTGGGGCTATTGTAAACACCATCATGTAAGCACAAATATTTTCTCTCTCAGAGCATTGAGCAGACTGGGTCAACTTCCAAACAGAAAAACTAAGTAATGATATGGTTCTGTACTCCTTCAATTTCTTCCCTTTCCTTTGAAAGAGATCACAAAACGTTGAACAATCATCCTGGCTGATGTATTGTAATATTTACTTTTCCCTTTGATGAAATGATAACCACACTGTAAATGAGCACCAAATGTATTTGTTGAGTTGCTGACTAAAGTGATAAAAAAGTACAGCTGCTTTTAAGAGGGATCAAAAATTCGGCTTCAGTATATACATTTTCAAGAACAACAGCCCCGCTTATTTTAAAAGATAATTATAACATGTATTCCAAGTAAAGGAGTTCACGAACTTTCGCTGCTCATTACCCTATGAATGTGATTCTTACTTTTCAATAGACCCTTGTGATAATGATGTAATTAACTAGGTATCTCTATAACAACCACAATGAGGGACAAAAATCCGATTGTAAAAATTTCTTGATAATGTGAAAGGTCATATAACAGATACATGTAGTCGATTCTAAGATTGACCACGTAACATCGCATACATATTTAATTGCCTGCCAAATGCTAGCTTAATGATTTTATTGTTTAAAACACAACATTTAGTCCATTTTAAGCTAATAAATCCTTTTGTCACTTTAAAACTGTACGAAGACTCTAACTTGAGTTTACTAAGCTTACCTTTCCCAAACCAAACGTTTTCGTCGGAGTGTTAACCTGAAATTATGAAAGACGCCGGTTTTGATAAGTTACTCGGACGGCAAAATGCAGTAAAGCTTGAATCAACTTAAATAACAGTTCCTGGTTCAGAAATAAGTGAACACATGCACGCAAGTGATTCACTAAATCAATATACTCACACAAATGAATATTAAATCGGCTTCGCGAATCGCGCTATCGATATCTGTTGAAAAGAACAGGTTTTTGCCACGACACTGCTTTACAATCTCATCAAGGCCAGGCTGTGAAGATGAAAGTAAGGGATTAAAATCGTTCAAGAGAAACAAAAGCTCTTTGGGATGGCCCAAACTGTTAAGTTACTTTACCTCAAAGATCGGTAATTTTTCCGAATTCCACGCGTCGATTCTGGGCTTACTCAAGTCGACTACGGTGACTTTAATCTCAGGGCATTTTAGCGCGATGACACTGCATGTTGGGCCGCCAACATAGCCAGCACCTATACAGCAAATAGCCTTGATGGAATTCATTTCTTCGAGGAATCTAGACACTTCTGGAGTGAGCAACGTCGTGGCTGAACTTCACTTAATTTCTGTTTACTCGCGGCATTTTCAGATTTCCTACAATTGGTCAGCGGGGTATCAAAGGGGTATTCCTTTGCTGAAAGTTGATTGGTTAGTTTCACTAGAAGCCCGAGGAGACCTGGGTCTACGGCAAAAACGCAGACTGTGGACTACAGACACTGCAAAGTGCAGACTGTAGACTGCAGTCAGGGGATAAAATGTAGACTGCAGACTTTTAAAATAGCGATATCTCTCGTGACGGCCAAGCCCTGTCACGATCATTGAAATGGGATATCGTGGTTGGCAAAAAGAAGAAAATATACGGCCAATACCAGGATTATCATGTGAGATAAACAACATATGACATAGCCCACAGGATATCGGATCTGAGATGATCTGCGGCTCAGACGAAAATAAATGCAAATGTGACAAGAGACCGCAAACGAACATGCTGCTATTATACGTAGGATCTTGCTTAGGATCTGTGAAAGATCTGACCAGCCAAACAAAGGACATTTTTTAAACGAGGTGTTGGCGATGTATTTTCTGATGGATATTTGGATTTGAGTTTCATCGGAGGTCTTTACCATGTACCTGGTTTCTTTACTTGTTGCTGTTACGCCGTGCTGATGCATGAAATCCAGCCAGGAAGCACCACTTTCCTCAAGTTCGTTCACAGGGTCGTCTCTCTTCCTCCCTCGAGAAAGTACCCTGGTTGCGGCTGGTCGCGTGCCTATGAATGTCAACTAAAGCTCCACAGTGATCGGTACTCAGGAGTTTGGGCAGTGTGTTACCCCATTTCACACCATATAATGATACTCTCGAGAATTCTTGGTTTCAAATTTTCAAAGAGAAGCGCGTATATGAATGAATAATTTCTGAATGGATAAAAGAATTTTCTAGAGAATATCAGGTGGTCTGTACTAGGAAAACAAACCACCCAATCTAAAAAGGTCTATTCCAAAAAAAGAAATATTCTTGTTCCTTGGCCATTTCAATTTCAGAAGGTAAAGAAAACCATCAGTCTTTCTTTCCATACAAAGATCGTTTCAGTCGCTCTCAACGATCTAAACTAGGATACAAAGCTAGTTGTTGGGACTGTGATTCCTTCTATACTCCTTCTACATGAAGCGTTAAATATTGAATTAATAAGGTATGTGTGGGATTAATACACCATTTTGCTAATTCTAGCCTCAGTCCCTTGTGGGGGCAAAATTTGATCTAGTTAATGAATTAATGAGGCCATTTTTAGCCGAGCGATCACTTCTTGCCCCCACAAGGGAATGGAACTAGGAAATATTTGCATTAGTAAAATATATTAATGGAAATTTTGCTTGCTAAATTAATTAAGGAATGTGTGGGGTGTTAACTAAATAGACATCAAAGTGGTATTGTTTTAATTATTGAATATTAATAAAGTTGCAGCGAGAGGTTTGTGTTGTACTGGAGTTAACAAGCCGCCCAACCATCCGGGTAGTGTCGCGCTTATATAGCGAAAGAACAAAGGCTTGACTGTGAGCCAATGACAAAGCCTGACGTCATTATCAAATTGGTCAAACGATTGGACGATTTAAAATGGCGAACGCACCTTGTAACTTACAGGCCAAACATGTTTTAAGCTGCGAGCTTGAATTATTCGCTATGACGGATTTGCAAACAAACATTTTCAAGTGATAAATGACAAACTTTCTTGAGTAAATTTTTAAAAGTTACATAACTATTCGATATCGTACTCAATATGTTCAAACAATGCCCGAGAAATTTTCCAAATTTAATTGCTCAGAGCGAAAAAGTTACTCGATATACTGTAATACTGCTCTTAAAAATACTCAGAGTAATTGAGGCCCACTCAATTTCAAGTCACTAGATGAGTATTTAAAAGTTATCCCGGCGATTATTACGTTTTTAAATTACTCCGTCATAGTGTGGAAGGAAAACATTTGATGAGTTTTTAGAGTGGAACCTCCGATTTCAAATTGATCTAGAGTAGTTTGGACGGGACCTCAGTTTCCTTCCAAGCTACAAAAATATCAGTGCGGAATATTGAAAAGGTTGTAGCACGAAAAACCGTCTCAAGTAATATGAGCCCGATGTATTGAATACCTTTTACACGACAAGGAGCTTAAAAGCTCAAAATTTTACAAAGAACGTATAAGCGCGCTCATTCACGCTTTTGCCACCCAGAAATTTTGGGTTTTTTGTAATCCAATTTTTCCTAATGTGATATTACACCCAAAGAGCAAAACATTTCACCGATTTCTAAGTTTCACAAGTTATCTACGTTTGGAAGTCAATATGATGCCTTCTCCGCGTCAAATCGTCTGTAAACAACGACGTCCAAAACCGATACAATTTTTAAGTAGACCAATAGGCCATATTCGTATTCTCGGTATTGGACTGGAACTAGCTTGCAATGGAGGCTTATGCGGGGGAATACCTTAAAAAGAGAAAAATGTCATTTACATTTGAAAAGACTCCCGTCATTAGCCTCACTTGCAAGCTAGTTCCAGTCCAATACCGAGAATATGAATATGGTCTATTTCGATATATTAAAATTCAGCCTAACACAGTAGGCCTCAGCACGAAGCTCTGGGGAATAAAACCCACAAACTCTGTAGTTATTCCTCAGAGCCTCGTACTGAAGTTTATTGTTTTCAGCTGAGTTTTACTGATATCGAAATTGGTGTATGAAGGTGGGACTTGCCGCAAAAACACAGAATTTTTTGAAACTTTTTTCGTGGCTAAGATTTCACTTCAAACCATGGCAAAGTTAAAAGTAACATTTTTGGGAAGCTTAAAGACCAAAGATTATGAAAAATATATATTTTTCTATCCTAAAACTGTACTTATTGTAACCAGACACCGGCTGATTAAATCTGCCACCTGCTGACGAATGCCAAGGCGTACTTGAGAAAAGATAACTCCTACAAGAACTGATCAAAATGAATAATTTTTACATTTTTTAAAAGAAGACAAATAACTTGCTGTTTTAAGAATAGAGATTTTTGAAAAGTTAAAAACACATGAAATGGTGACCAGTCAAATCTAATACAGAAAATTCAGCAGATGTTTCAATGCATAACTTCTACAAAATGCACTGGACGGAAAAGGTCAAAGCCTAAAACACAAAACTTACTCAGAACAACAAATCCTGAAAATTTCAGCTCAATTGGACAAATCCTTCTCAAAATATCTTTTCTCTACGACAAAAATAACTCGTTTTGAGAAAACGAGCTTTGAACTTACAATAACTAAAATTCGCAAAATAAAACTTCCATACCTTAAGATTCAAATCCCGATAAAAACAAAACTTCGATTTTTTTTTTTACAGAATTTTAGGTTTTAGGTTAATTTTAAGTCCCGTCTTAACCCCAATAATTATCTCCTGACTTCTTTGTCTTATCTCCGTCAGAACTGTAAGTACTGATTTTAGTACAGTTTGTTAGGGAGTTTTAGTAACTACGACGGCGACGCCGAGGAAAACGTCGATTAAAAGATGAACACATATTTTACCTACAAACCTTGCGATACTCTTAAGTCATTCAGTTTGTTTCTCTTTGTTAAAACTATTTCGAAACTGAATACGGAACACAGTGTAAAATTCGAAATATATTTCAGTGTTAAAAATTATCCGTCGTGGTTCACGTTCTCAAGACAACGCAGAACTTGGTCATTTCACGTTGTTTTTCAGAGGACGGCAAAGAAACGAAGAACCAAGAATTATTATGCACGTGCACAGCTATTGTATATACCTCTTATCAACCGAGTTCTAGGGCCGTACTGTTAGTTACGGACCGAGTTATTCCCCAATCGATTTATGGCCCAAGCGCAATACGCGAGGGCCAAAAATCAAGGAGAAAAAAAGGAGATCCGTAACTTCCAAAACGGACCGAGGAAACAAGGTTAGTAAGATATATTTATTAATTATAATATCTCTACTGTGTGTCTGACGGGTTCGGGAACGATTTCTATTCACGCGGAACGGCTTCAAATTTCTGACGCTCCTCGAAAACAAAAGGAGTCAATTCAAAATCGTAGTTAAGTGCGATTTAAGTCGTTAGCAGGTTTTTATACACAATTTCAGAAGTAAAAGAAAATTTTAAACTTTTACTCGCTAAAAAGGTTAAGAACACTTGGCGATAAATCACGAAACATTTTGGCAACACAAACAGCTTTAAATTTTAGCGGGCCGTACAAAAGATTATTGATCGCTAAATTGACCAATCACAGCGCGTGTAGTAACTGAGAGATATAATAATGCGCATTAAAATGTCGTTTATTGAGAGACGTTTCTGCTGCCGCGGTCGTTGTGGTTTTCTTAACCTCCCTATTAGAGACCATCAGGCGCTTTCCAGACGAAAAATTCTGATTTGAATTTCCGGAAATTTCCAAGAACATCATTTTTTTTTTAGAATTTCCAAAAAAGAGGACAACCTCGTGAGATGTGCCCAAATACATGATTCGCACTTTGGAAATTCAACAATTTTCGGATTTTCCGGGTACTTTTCCAGGAAATTTTCCAACCATTTGCGCCAGTTTCCAAATAATTTCCGGAGTTTCTTGCAGAATGGAAAGAGCCCCACGTCAAGGAAAAGCTGTTATTATCTAGCAATTCTACAAAGCTTCATTTATAACCGATTTTCTAAAGTCAGGTCTACAAGAGTACTTTTTTTGTGACAATTATTATGTCACAAATATATTTGATCGTGTAGATGGCACAGTACATATTTGTCCGCAGTTCAAAGTTACGTGCGCCAGTAATGACTTTGGACAGCAGTGATACGCAGAAACTAAGCGGAGCTGCTTACTCGGCCCCGAAAAACTTGCTGCTTAAGATCCACCCATTCCGCACGTTGTAACCCAATAAATACTGGAGTTGTAATGACGTTGTAACCAGTAAATTAATGCATTGTAATCAAGCTAAACACAATGACAATTCTTTGACTGGGGGAGGGGTGATTGAGAAAGACAAAAGGGGCGCTATTCGGCTCAATCGCTGAAATAATTTTTTACTAGCGGGTTCGAATTCATCAACTCTCTAATCTCAGACGCTTAAACTAAAA